TAAATTAGCGAGATATGAGGTAGTGTTATTTGTTGGTAAAACATGCAGCTTCATATTTTGTGAGGAAGGATATAGAAGATGGGATTTAGATTATTATACAAAGCCAGATCATGGTTTGCACGCTGCCATACATGATGAGGCTTTATAGAACTACTTGAGCAGAACTATGGCTTGACATTGACAGACTTACAGGACAGAAGGTCAAAAGAAGTACCCTTTCTGGCATTGTCATGTGCTTGTATGTACACAAACAAGTATTCTAAATTGCTCCTGAAGAACTTCTTCACCACTTTTTAAGATTGTAAAATACAAAGTATGAGACAAATTAGATCCTCAGCCTGGGATACAAGTCCAGATGTAATATTGGTTTACTTTAATCAATGTGATATTTACAAACATGCTTCAAGTCTTGATATGAATACTTTTGCCATTTTCTTTTTTCAGATATGATTCAGGACTCAGATTTGTGAAAAACTGCTAACTCCTGTCTTTTTCCAAGGCTAGTGTTACAAGGCTGATCTTAAAGAGCCCTTGCTGAATTCCTGAAGATGCTATATAAACTACCTAGTGACATGAGTTGGAAGATACTTTATTGCAAAAATATTTCTGTTTAAAAATGGATGTAGGACTGAAATTCAGATTTTTCTCATTGCTTAGAAAAGTAATGGAGACATGGTTGTGTTCTACTCATCTGAAATTCATTCATATGAACTAGATCACTTAGTCTATCTTGATGAGCTGCCTTGCAATGTGTGTACAATGGGGGAATATATGCTGCATGTCTATTAGTAGAAATTAAAATCACATCAAACTCTTGTTCTGTTTATAATTGACTCCCAGTTTTGAACTGCACTGATATCATATACAAGAGAAATAACCAGTGTGTACCATCTGTACCAATGAGAAGACATTACAAATAAACATTTTGTTAATAATTTAACCCAGGGCTTTACTCACCAAACCAGTGTTACTGGGGAAAATGAGAAAAATTTACAAGGTGACCAGGCAATGGTGGCAGTGTTTTACTGAATGAAGCAGTTTTCATTTGAAAAAAAAAATGCCAGTATTGTTTCCATTAGTAAAATGATACTAATTAGTTCTGCACAGTACTCCTTAACATCTTGTAGTTCCATTATTTTCTGCATTATTACATAACTAAACCCATTCTCAATATTCTTATCTGTAGTCAGTAATGATCACACACACACAGGTCTCATTTCATCCCAGTCTATGTTATCAACTGGAAGATGCTGAGCTGAAAACCAAAAAAAAAAAATTAGATATACTTGAAATTATATCATTTTGTAAAAAATAGATGCAGGAAAGGAAAGTGATTCACTCAAAGAAGACTGAGCCCAGTAGGAGAGATGGGAAGTGAAACAGGAAGAATACAACAGGGAAGGTGGTCATTCCTTAGAAGGAGAACTCAGGTGAGAGCAGAGATGCTCAAAAAGATATTAATCTCCTCCTAAGTCTGCTCCTGTAGTTTGAAACCCTGCTCTAATTTTTAATTTATACTTTATAATTGCAAAGTGTTAAAATGGGACTTATGTGAATGAAATGGGTAGTAATTATATGTGGATCATTAAAGATCAAAATGAGCTAGTTTGACAGTGTGGAAAGTTTCCAGATTCTGCCAACTGAACAATACAGTACTCCCTTATTTCTACCACAGAAAACACTGCATAGCTGTTCTCCTACCCCACTACAACAGTTCCATCACCATCACCAGTCATGTTACTTTTCAATTTGGTTAGTTAACAACCTTCAAGTAATTCAATGTCTCATATCTCTTTACTGTCATTTTCAACATTCTCACAGATGTTGAGAAATCTAGTATGTGAGTAAAATCTAAAACAGGGAGTTTAATATTCTTATCACAATAACATGTCTCTGGGACTAAACTAATAAGCAGTAATACACTTCAAATAGGAATGTGTGATTATTCTAAATAATTTCAAAGAACTAAAACTGCTATAAAATTTAAAATGAAATTAACAATATGTCTGTGTGTGTCATGTGCAGTCCTACTTTTTGGAACACCATACCTCTGTCATAATAAAATTTAACTTACCTAATCTTAGATGAATACCCTTAGTAAGATATTTAACTGCTGTTCAATTTGGAGAAGACACATATATCAATTTCTAGCTATGTTTTTCTGACAGGCTATAAAGGACAATAATTAAATGGCCACTTGATCTCTAGTATAAGACATCATGGGAATAGAATATCTTTGAGGATGACCCCTGGTCTCCCTAGTCATATCATAGCTTCTTGTGTCAAAGAAGTTGAATATATAATATGTTTTAAATTTTACAATGGCCTATATCTATACTCAAACTTAGCCAGTCCACTTAGGATATAATCAAAGAAAACACTATTGCTGTTTAATATCCTGAAAATCTAGAATGGGAGGATTTTATTACTGGTAGGTAATTACATTTTCACCATAGTTTTATCTAGGCTTGCGTTCTTCTAGCCTACTTTTCATTTTATTATTCTAAATTCAATGCTTATAGCATTTGTATTTGTATAAGCAGTCATTTTCCCTTTTGGAAATAAATGCCCATGTTATAGACAGAATATGAAAAAAATCAAAGGTGTAAAAATACTCACACACTAAACAATAATAACATCAACAGCAAGCCATTACAAATGGGGCAAACAATTAAAGGTTATTTTTTGAGAATCCTCACACATACAATTTATAACTGTCCAACATGAAGAAACCTGAGCACAAAATCTTTCTTTCAAGTCTGCTGTTACTAGTCACATAGGACACACCTTAAAAATGTAGGAAAAATAATCTTAAAAATTATTCTCAAATCAAATTAAAAAGAATATCTTAGAATAATGTCTAACCCATCAAAACCTGCTTATGAATGGGAGAAAACTATACATCCATAGCAAATCCTATATATACACTTGATGAATAAAAATTGCCTGTAGCAGCAGACTGGGAAATAGTTGTAAGTGCCTTGAAGAGGTTTGCCTTATGGGCTCTGATGACCACTCATATACATTCATTTCAGAATCAGTGGTTGCTGCAGACCTATTATTTCCTGAAAATATATACTTTTCATAGTATAATAAACATTTACTGCTACTCCTTAAGAAAATAAACTGTGGAAAACTTAGCACACAGCACTCACTCAATTGCTATGCTGCTTAAAGATGGGAGGTATTGGAAAATTCTGATGATCATAAACACCAACTTTTTTTTTTATGTCCAGAGAAAGCTTTGGAACTGGTGTAGCTAGGATAGATTGAAATCCTAAAGCCATGCCATATAGTTTTGTGTACATTTTAAAAATCCACTGACCATCGTTAAATTAATTTATAGAAATCATGGCTTCAAGAAGGAATTTTCAAAAACAGTGATATCTGAAAAAAGACCAAGTCCTGCATTGCTGTTGAGCACTCTAGCTAATTTCATCAATATTCTTCACTTCCAACTTTTGGATCTTCAATGTTTTTTTTTTTTGTGTGTGTGTGTGTGTTTTTTTCAGATAACAGAACGTGTTAAGCAGAAAGCACAGGTCAGAACCACACCTTTGAATCAATTGGACAATATTGACCTCTAGTGTTTGAGAAGGTAGAGAAACAAGCTTAGTAGCAAAGCTTACTAAGGGTGTTGGGTTATTCTCGTGGCCAAGATCAGAATACTTCCAAGGAGAAAGGGAGAATAAGAGGTGGAACAAAGGGGAACAGAGGAAGGAATGGGGAGAAGGTAAAAGAGAAATTCAATTTACCTGACTGTATCAATATATCCTCTAAAATAGTTTACTACTTCATTCCTACCTGATGATGATGGTGGCCTCTTTTGCCCTCCTTTATAACACACACATTAAGAAAACATTACTAATATAGATTGTGAGCTTTCTAATATTTGAATAGCAGAAACACTAATTCTACTTTGATCATCTATCTCTCTGGAATGCAAATTATGGGATAAGATCCCATAAGAAAGAATAAGGTATAGCATTTTCTCTAGTAAGTCTTCTCACTTTGTTAAAACTGATATTGATAATACCAATTTCAAAAGTAAAATAAAATTGTTTTAATAAAGTTTCTGGCATTCAATAAAGGAAGATAAATGAGGGAACACTCTAGGAATAAAAGAGACTGTGGTAAACCCTCCTTACACACAACAGAAATGGATTAATTTCACCCTTTCTCATTTGGTAGTTCCCAGAGATGGAAAAACTTTCCCTTTCCTGCCTAGATAAGTAGCTGAGCTATTGAGCTTTACCTTCTTAGACCTTTAGCAATTTATTCAAGTTTGATGATTCTTTAAATACATAGTGCAGGTGGCCTATCTCTGGGAGTCAAGAATGTCTGCCTATGTTTGATGGGGCGGAAATGTGGACCACACAATGCGTACTCATTATTGCTTGACTGTCACCAGAATTTGGAGGGTGGCGTATGTTCTAAAGCTCTATCTCCTATAATAGGACAGCCACTGACCTCCTGTGGTAACTATATTTGAGGTACAATTCTTAGATCCAAACTCTCTAACCCTTTACACTGGAGCCTATTTGGTTACCAAATGCTCTCAGTTTTAACCTTATGCCTAAGGAAGTGGAGAAAGCTAGGTGGTTAAGGTGCAGATGTGGGTGAAGGAGTTCTGAGCACACTGCAAATCAGTAGGAGCTGCCTTCTGCTGTTGTCACAGAACTCTGTGGCTCTGGTGTGTCCCTGTTCCTAAAGGCTTCTTCCTGCTCTGTGCATTCCAGGGTGAGATAAAAAATCATAGAGCTAGCAGCAAGCTAAGAGAAATGTATGATTCCAAAGAAAGGCAGGGAATGCAGGAGTGCATACTCATTAGAGTCCTGGAAACTTTCGGGATGTTTGAAATGATCGAACCACACTAATTAGGGTGTTCACTTTGCTCTTTTTCTTCAGTCAGAGAACATACAGTCGAGCATAGTATACTTATTCCTAGAAGGAGCATCCAATCCCACCTCACGTTCCAGTCCCCAGTTCCGAGTACTCACAATTTGTCGCTGTTAATCCTAAATGCCACAAACCAGAGAGCACCAAAATCAAAACGCTGCTCAGTCTTGGTACAAAATCCATTTCCTCCGAGTGAGCGATTTTTTCCAATGGAATCCCAAAATTACAGACACAGTCTTTGCTTTTTTTCTCTTTTTCTTTCTTTCCCTCTATGTTTCTTCTCCACACAGCCTGACCCTCCTCCCACACACCTTGTACAGACCCTCTTCTCCTTCACTCCATTCTACTCCTCAGCTGGTCCACCAAAACTGCAGCAGGGATTCCTCGGAGCGGTGAGGTGCAACCGAGGTTTATAGTACCTCACACTGTTCCTTTTTATGCTTGTCTTCCTCCGGATTTCCTTTCTTAAAGGATCATACCCAAACTCGAGGGCAGCTTTTGGCGCCCAGCTCCGCTAATAGCCTAAAGCATCTCTTAGGGCATTAAAGCTGGATTCAGCACCTGGGTGTCGGACAGCTCCTCATAGGCGCAATCTGCGGAGCACCGCCCCCAGGTCTCTCCTGTAAGAGTGGCCTGGGCGTGTCCTTGGTCGCTCAGAAGGCTTCAGCAGATAGTCTGCTGAGGTGTGCTTTGGATTCTTGCTGGGGAGGCAAAGGGAAAAGTGAGCTTTCTTCTCTCTCTCTCTCTCTCTCTCTCTCTCTCTCTCTCTCTCTCTCTCTCCCTCCCTCTCTCCTTCCCTAATCCCTCCTCTCTCCCTCCTCTCTCTCCATGCATCTCAGCATCCCTAACTACATACCCCTTCTCTTTCTCTTCTTCCCAAATTAAGGTCCTTAGAGTCAGGTTTCTGAACGACTATGAAGAAGTGATGCCTAAAGGAGTGAAGTAGTCCGAAGACAGAAGCCGTAAGAAGAGGAATATTCCTATGGAGAACTCAGCAATGACTTAACATGATGCCTAATACCGTTTTCTTCACTTCACAGGGGAGAATCAAAGAAAGCTTGAATTGTGTGATTCAGTTTCCCCTGCAGAGATGGATGATTGCCTTGTATTTATCCAATTGAAGTTTCTAGTTTAGCTATTTGGGGATATGACCGCTCCCTGCGTTTCAAGCTTCCACATCTGCATCTGGCCCTGGTTTCTGTTAGCACATTGTTTCAACAACAACTGTAGCTTCTTGGTGTTGTGGGTTCCAAAGAAGGTGAAGTGCTTCACTGTCATAGGAGAGAAATATTTAAAAATCATTTTCAAAAGGCAGGGGCTGGACAATGAGTAGAAGCAAGTTGTGTGAGGGTCAGGTGTGAGTCCATGACTGCCTCTCTGATTGCTTTGTAGGGGTTCCTTATTAGAGGTTCTTTAGCTTCTAGCATGCATCTGGGGACTTACTTGCTTTGCCACAGATCAATTTATTTTGTGTTTAGTGGGAAGCAGCCAGAAACCTGTCAAAAGTTAACAAAATGAGGAAACAGTAATAACGCTTTCTATGTGATGTTTACAATCAAGTTAGAGTCTATGGGCTCTTTCCACATCAGAGGAAGTTGGTACTTCTCTCTCTTTTACATCTTTCTCACCCACAGCGTTAGGGAGCAAACAAAGTTATATTATACCACTGATTCAGGACAGCTTTTGCTCTCAGCTCCCGGCTCTGCATTTACTGAACACTAGGCTGAGTTTCAAGCAACCTTTGCATAAATCCTGACTTTTAACTTTGTAGTCTGGGAGCTTTGGTTCCCATCACTGGACTATTTGTTCAACAAAAATTGAAACAATTCCCCATTAATTTATTAAAGGAAGAATTTTTAAGGCCCTGTTAGCTGTAAGCAAATAGCCTTGTATCTATATTTTAATTGAAAACAATTATATTAGAAGATTCCTAGTTCATGGGAAACTCAACACAAGTTATTGAGGTATAATCATACTCAGTGACTTTTGAGTCCCAAAATATCAAATTTGGGGGATAAAACTTTTTCTGTCCTGTCGAAAGGAAATTGTGGAAAGGAAAATCTTAAGGAGACCCTAACTCTCTTTGTATGGGTTGTTTTTTTCCTACAACATTTCTAAAGATCGCCCTAGAGATGCTGCCATCCCAAGTCTATGGTATTTGAAAATCCCAAGTTTAAATTTACCCTCTGACTAGTTTAATCAGACTCAAATGGTCTTAAACACACACACACACACACACACACACACACACACACACACAGAGACATGATATTTTTCACTTTGTATGTTCTAAGTGAATGTAGTATTTATATTTTTTATATATTTTTTAAGAATATCATTTTACTGTGTGTGTGTTTATGTAAATGTGTGCCTGTACCTGTGTATATATACTTGTACAACATGCATTTAGTGCCCCCGGGGGCCAGAAAATTGTCTCAGATCCCATGGAACTGTAGTTACAGAAGGTTGTTACCTACATGATATGGGAAGTCAACTTCTATCATTTACAAGAGCAGCAAGTGCTTTTAACCACTGAGCTTTGTCTCTAGCCTCAACTCTTGGACAGTTTTATATTACAGACATAATTCAAAAGCTTTTGAAGCTTTTTGCCTCAGAGCATCTATACCACTTCACAACTATTAAAAAGTTATTGATTTTTATATATTATCCCCATATTATACTTTTCTGAGTTTCATCAACATTTGTGTTCTTAGACACCACATTGTATTATTTTATGTTTCATCAATTTTGAAATGATGAGCCTGAGAATAGTGTGTTTTTATAGTTTATATACTATATTTTATATAGTTTACATAATAATGAGGGTGTTGAAGTGTTTATCTAGCATACTGGAAGCGTGGAGTTCAATTCACAGTGCTAAAAACCTGAGTGTGATTGTTGAACCTGGACCTGCATACCCATACTGCAATCACTCTGGAGGTGGAGGCAAGGAGACCAGAAGTTCAAGGTTATCCTGAGCAACAGATGGAGTCCCAGGCCAGGAAGGCTACTTGAGAACCACTCCCCCACCATATTTATGGTTTCTCTATCAACTGTATTGGTCTGTCTGTCTGTCTATCTATATATCTTCTTATCAATTAACCTATTTATCTTTCTATCATCTATTGTTTACCATATATTTCATTTTCTCTCCTTTAATCTATTTAATGTCATTGTTGAAATGTAATGTTTTGATACATGAATCTCTAATTGTTTAATCTTGATCACTGTATTGTTTTTCACTTTATGAATATATGAATGTTTATTCCTTTAGTGGTCCTATTTAAATTCTGAGTTATATCCAGTTTTTTCCCCTAGTTTAAAATATACAATTCTTTAATTTCCTTGTAATTTGTCTTACATTCACCATTGAAATTTCTGCATATTTAGGAAATGTTTTTCTTTAGTGTTCTTTGTCTCACCAGAATAATGTGATAAGATATCATCAACTCATGTTTGTTTTTTGCTAAAACTGAGTGAGATTCTCCAGAAGAAAGCATCCTTTTGGTTTTGAAGGGAAAACTGATAGCAAAAAGTAAAGTATACTGTTTGTCAACAACATCACAGCTACTATATACCTCCAAAATACTGTTTAACTAGGTAAAAAAAAAATTAACAATGAGAGATTTAACAATTCTACCTTTCTAGCAGAATCACTTTACATGAATCATCAAGACCAAAATAAATGTGTTGGTTGTACATGTTCAGAAAACATAGACATATCCTGGAAGTGTTCCGGAAACTTTGTTAATTTCCTTACTTGTTCTTTGACTATTTATATTTATTGCCTTGCTTGTTCTTTAACTATTTGCATCTATTGTATTGCTAGTTCCTCAACTTCAAACTAACCTTAATACTTGCATGTAATTAAAATGGTATAAAAGCAAAAAGGAGGAGGTGGGATGGGATAAGGGATTTCCTAGGGAGAGGAAATGCAGAAATTGGATGGCATCTGAAATGTAAATAAATAAAATAACCAAGAAAAAAAAAGAACAGAAGTGAAACATAAAAAAAAAAGTATGTCACTATGGACTCTACAGTTGTAATTTATTTTCAAGTTATTGGTACCATCAGTCCATATTTCAGAGACCCATATGCAGACATAGTGTTTAGTATATAAATTACACCTAATTTCCAACCATATTTACATTTATAGCTTCTATTTTTTGTTTCCAACACACCTGTTCTTGAGATACTTTTAGTTTTAACCAGCAGACATTCTTCAAAATTTGCCACTGTTTCAGCAAGCTTATTGTGCTTCTGACTGTGGTGAGGTGCAAACAGCTGTTCCTCACAGACAGTACTGTAAATGATTCCATCTTTTGAGGCATTTTGACTTCACACATCACTAGTTGTTCTAGTGACTGAAGGATAACTCCTGTTACTACATTTTCTGGATTTTGTTTGTTTATTTTGATTTCCTTTTTATTTTTTTTTTGTTTTTTATTGCTGTTTTATTTTAGTAAAAAAATACAGTATAATGTAATTATGTTTTTCTTTAAGTATTTTTTCTTTGTTACTTATTTTTCTTGTTTTATATATTGTTTTTCTTTCTTATATAAAATGGCTAGTAAGAGGGCAAAGGAAATTGAGGAAACTTGCTACTCTTGTAGCCCTAAAACTGACTTAAAACATTGGACAGAAACATCCAATGTTAAGATAACAGCAGTGGTTAACATGAAACTCTGCCAATTGTCTTCCATTATAAGAGATGTTGGAGATTTTAAATGGACAGAAATGACCTCTTCTGGGAAGTGAGAGGCACACGTGGCATAATGAGTCAATTCTTAGTCCCTTTGTGGTAAAGCCTTATTTATATAGAGCAATATCACATATATATTTGCCTTAAGAATAGAGTTGAGTCATATAATGAAGGCAGAGTATAATTTTTCAAAGAGGATATCAGTGTTAATGTCCAGGGATGCAGGGCACATAATGAAGAAAGTATTCTAGAACTCATGCACTATACCAGGTCCTGCACTGAGTTGATTTTATGAGGAATGTCCTCTTTCCAAATTGTCTGTCTAATTACATTTATACAGCCCATATGTTACAATCAGACTGAGTTATCAACAGAGGTCTCTCTTTTCACCTGTGTATATGTATTTTAAAAGAACTTCCCTCCCAAAATAATCACTATTTCATTTGGATATGCTTTATGTTTCCTGGGAAGACTGCTTCAG